TGACAAATTCCTTCCTGATCTTTGTTGTTCGGTGTTGTCGACACTAAAGTTACAGCCGTCACTTTATTATAGCAACCTTCACACAGAGAAGTTGGTTTACCATAAAACAGCCCGGTCATATTTTTGAAAAGGACTCACAACTGAGCAGAGAGTTCAGCATCACGTAAGGCACCAGTTTAACAGAACTACACTACAACGGCACCATCCTGAACGTGCTGATCGCAGTACAAATTACATACAATTAATACAACTCAAAGTATGTGTAATTTATACCACCCTAAGTACATACAATTTGTACAACTCAAAGTACACACCATTCATACAAGCCTATTGGTCACTTTAGTAGAGTGTCAAGGCTGCAGAAAACCACAATTATGAGCATTTTGTTCAACATAAAATGTACTTTTTTTCACCCATTCACTGTGTCAGAATCACAACACGCACACACACACACACACAGCTCTTTTGTTGTTTGCGTTTCTTCCCCTCAAGCAGCGGCTAATTGCTTGTAATGCAGTGAGAGAGTGGAACAGTTAGTGTGTGTTCACAGATTGGTCGATGATTCACTGAGCACACACTCACCAACTCGGAGCATTACAGATTGTTGAGACATGGGCCCGTAAACAGCCCAGCGTGTGGCGTCATCTATCATGGCACGGTCGGTTAACTCGCCATCATGTTATTTTCTGCTTGCCGAGCCCTAACACGCCAAAGGTTGCCCGCTGGCCGTGCAGCGCGGCACCAGCTCCGGGAGCGCCAGTAATGAATGTTTAGTGGAGCGGATGCTCCCTCTCTGCCAGTGCGCCCTGGGTAATTTGTTTATCTGTCTAAAGATTATGCAGCCCGAAAATCCACAATTTTATGCTGCCTTTGTAAATTATCAAGTGTGTGTTTGATGAATGTATCTGCAGCTGTGGGAGGCAGCAGCTCGCCGGCGGCTGGCTGACGGATAGAGAGGTGGCAGCGCGTGGCCCTCCGGAAACAGTAGTGCGGCGGAGGCACACGTGTGCTGACCCTGCTGCGCTGCTGGATTGGTCTGAAGTTAATTTAGATTCTGCTTTATGGTTCATTCTCAGGCTCTTCGTCTCTTTTGTCTAAGGCACCAGGGTAGAACGCCGAGACACAACTGGTGGCTCCGGCAGCCTGTGTTTGTGCATGGCGGTATGGGGGGTTGGAGGGGCTGTTTAAAAAACCTTTAGTTCAGCCAGACAAGTGTGATTTATACTCTGAGTCTGCAGATTCACATGTGAGTGGGTAACAGCTTCTTTGTGCCTGCGACGTGATATTGGAACAGGATTCTCTCAGATGTGCACGTAGATTACAGCAGAGTGTATTTGATCCAGAGGTAAATGTCCTCTCTGTGAATCACTCCCACTCCTCATTTGTCATCTTTGCACTCAGTGCAAGTTTTAATGTAAAACCTGCAGTGTTTCAAAAGAGCAGCCACTTCACTGGAGGATTGGTCACTGAGCTGCTGCACCGGAAGGAAAAACTGAAATCACTTTAATTTAATTGAATCTAGAGATATCAAGGGATCAAGACTGTGTTTCTGTTTTGGTCATATGTTTTTATCGTGAAGTAACTTTAACTTTTTGTCTTTTTCATTTTTCCTTATTGTAAGCTAATATAAACAGTAACTTATTTTTGACTAGTTTTAGTGTTTTTTTTTAATGTTATATGCAACTTTTGGGGATGACCTTGCATACTTGTATTATTAGCTGTTGTTTTAGCTAGCTCTGTTGTCTATTTTAGCTACGTACTTAAGCAATTCTTTGCTCTTTCGGCTGATATCTGCCTATTTTCAAGATAAAATTAATACCACTTCAGCCACACCAGACTTCACAGTATGTTATATGTTTTTAACGAATGACCATTAAACTTTTTTTGGTGAAATTTTCAGATGTTGTTTATTTTATTGTAGATATTCTTCCAAAATGTGAGCCATATCTGGCCTAATCCAGTTTAATACCAACCTACTGTACTTTGGAATTGTTTTGACTTTCGTGCGTTCAAACCTCATTCACCGTTGTTGTTTATTTTCCCTGGTTTGCGGCTGATGTTAAATGTGAACGTTCAGACTCGATGAAGAACGCCGTGACACTTCAGTGTGATAACTGCCGTGCAGCGACCACCTCTGATACACCGTACTGTAAGGTGCAACATAATTCTGCTAATTGTGTTTAATGAAGCCGCTGTGTTGACTGCTCATCCATGAATGTGTCATAAACTGTGATACAAGCCTGTAATGACTGCACTGTGTAAACACACACAGGGCTGTGCTGAGTCTGCATCCT